AAACATATCAACTTCAAATAATAATTCCTGCTCAAATATTTACGTCGCACATCCATACACACACCAAAACACGAAAGTAAATTGAAATATTTGAATAATAACGAATGGCATCATGCATCTATTTGTAGGTTACGGTTAAATAGATACATGTTAAAGTCTCGTCGTGTTTCTGCAGAGTAAAGCTGCTTAGAAATTGACCTTAACCTAAGTCGCTAAATGTACATGTATATCTTAAAGTTAATGCCAATTTTCTTTCGGCGGCAAATACATATCATCTTAGAGGCTTCAATGGTCAATTTCACAACTTTCTGATTTAGGAAGCATCGCAATGTGTCTGCGGTTGAATGGATGATACAGCATCTGTTTGAAGTCATTGGTATTGATCTGAACACATTGTTGAAGCAACGCACACAGAGAAAATGCATCGGTACTGCAACATTCCATTTCGCCAAAAACAATTTTTTTTCATACTGTATAACAAAATAAAACAACTCTGTTCTTTAAAGCTCTGGAGACTCGCTTCTTCAGAGAAGACAACGGTTAAAATGGGGATGGATTTGTCATAAATCGATTTTGAATGTGTCTGTCGTGTATAAAGCGTACAAAAGAGTTGCTGTTTATTCTACATGTACAGTGGAGGAAATGTCGCGAGAACCTCAATATCGACACCTTTAATTGATGAAATCGCTATGGTTCTTGTTAATTAAATGATTTTTTTGTGTTAATTTTCATCAATTTTGTTAGCATCTACTGTTAATATATTTATATACTTAAGACACAAAATATCCGTTTTCATGTAAAAGCTAACAGTGATCAATCAAACAAAACGAATCATGGACAGGGCAACACAAGGAGTGAAACATTGAAGTTGGGATCAGATGCCCAGGAGGAGAAATCATCCCTAATATGGTTCTTTAAAATAGAATATATGATCTTTAAAGATAGAACCTCTATGTGAGATTAATGTCATCAAACCCTACAATACATCACCTTTTCGTCATGTTGTAAATTCAAATTTTCCGACTGGCATTAAATACAAAAACAACATGACACATTTCCAAAATCAATATTAAAAATGAAAGTAAACTTCATTCATTACCATACAGTTGTGTTATGAACATGATGTTCACAATTCTTTTACAACAATCAGCAAAGACGGCAGTAAAAATTTTCAAAAATTTTTACGACATGGACTTTTTGCGGCACTTCTGGAAATACCCGGTAGTTTAAAATTCTTTCAAGAGACAATTTAGATTAAGCTGAATTAAAATTCAAAGAATTCAGCATTTCAAGAAAACGAATCGAAAGAAAACGAATGATTTTTATTTCCTTTGTACTAATGCAATTTTCGCCTTCAATGAAAAACATTGCCTTGCTTCTCTTTCTAATATACTCCGAATAATCAGACATTGTCAAACAATCTTTCCTAAATTTTCAAAAGTTAAAGAAGATTTCCCAATAGTAAAGATTTTTTATATCATCGGCTAGCAAAGTGCGCAATTTTTTTGTTTTATAAGGAGATAGAAATACTTGAAAACTTGGCAGAATCTATTCTTGGCCGTACGTCATTGATTTAACTATCCAGTTACGCAATATAGAAGAAACGATTTCATTAAACCAAGATTCCATCAATGCAGCCGACTGCTAGCCGCCTAATCAAATGAATTTCATTGGCACTATTGTGAAATTTTAAAAGCATATATGACATGAGTTGTCTTATTTAATATCAGTCTTTTTCGTTACTTAATATTTATAGTTTGCAATATAAGTTCCTACACCATATTGCGAAGTCTGGGTTTTCTTGATATTTCTTGCATACAGTGTGTCAACAGTATGTTAATATGAAAAGTGTTACATAATTATGTAGAAATATGTAATACATGTAATAATGTACAGTCTCGATTATATGTAATACGTGCAGTGTCCGTTACATGCAATACAAATTTATCATAAGAAAATCTGGATCGAGTTTTGTTTTGGGTATGATTAGGCCATTTTGGACAGAGTTATGCCCCTTGGACATAGAAAAATTCCAATTATTTGGGTGGGGGTCATAAGTGTTAAAACATCTCTTGTTTTTGTACAGTTTACGTGGAACAATGAATCTTGTTCGCTCAATGCTTGCAGAGAGTCTCCTCAAAGCACTATCTGTCTGTCATGTCACTCTTTGTTACCTATTGCATAGTAAAGAAAAACCAATATCATTAGACTGGCATTCTTGTAACTACCGTGCTACTGCAACAAACGATCGAAAAAAAACACTTGCACGACAGACATACCTCAGTTGGTTAGGTAAAATGCCTTCTCTGAAATTGACCGAACAACAATGATATCATATAATGCGATTAAATGGATTCAAAACCTCATAGATGTAAGAGTTAGCAAGATGTTCTTGTCACCTCTATATACTTCAGGGAAAAAAGAGGAAGAGGAGGAAACAATCGATTCTTTCGACCTAAACTATTGCTTATGGAACTAATGATCTTGTCAAATAAAGATCCTATTCGGAAGATTAGCTTAATTATTATAATATATAATCACATGTATTATGATACATTGTTAGTGGTAGTTGAAAGATGTGCGAGATCTATATACAGACAATAGATGAGTGTGTATAGGGGATTCCCTAGAGATCTTATTTCTGCACACCTGATTTTTTGAGCGGTTGTGTGATTGCTGATTATATGGTGCAAACGGGAAAAAAATCGATTTTAATATCACCTCTTAACACACTTTATTTACTTAAAATACACGTATATAGCTTCGTTCATGCTACTCATTTTATTGTAGAGTACAGCATTAATTCACGCAATGTTGAACAGATGATAACAAATTATAAAGTGTGCCACTCCTCGCAATGTATTTGGTCCATGGACCCATTTTGTTAAATTTGTTAAATTGAGATGAATTTTCTATACTATTCATTAAGTCTTATTGACAATACTGTTTACAGTAACTGACAAACCACATGAGGGATTCTGGAATTTGCACTTAAATAGCGATGCAACATTAATGAAATAGCTAATCTTATCATTTATAGACGAAAGACTAAAGTTACAGAATTTCAGAACTTTTTTGGCAGAGAGATGTTTTTCCACCATTACAGTAATCAGATATGACATCAATTGGAACATCTTTTTTAGAAAAACAAGTTTGAATGTGTTTGTACTGTTATTGATCGGGCTCGGTCTACGCTGAAGAACGGTGTAAACGGAAGAGGGAGAATACCCCTGACATTTGTTACATTACTTTGCTGGTCGGCGAGCGAAGCATACGCAATTAAAAATTCAGTAGGCGGTGGTAAACCTGGTATATACGACTTATGTCAATTGATTATGATGGCCAAAGCTAGCCATTGTTTTCAAATTCGAAAAGGTGGATTGGAGCTACAAACCGAGGGAGAGGATTCTCAGACTGAAAAGAATATTTTCATACTGAGAATATGTTTGAATGGATAAATTCCAAATATTAATTGGTCAAAATATATATCGTTTTAGTCCGTGTTTATTAATTAATTTTGGTGAAGTGTATCTTAAAATTGATCAATTTGATACTTGATACTAGCCTTATAAAAGATACATAGAAAATTCGATAAGCACAATTAATTTCAAAGTACTAGTTATAAGAAACTAAGGTTAATTATTCCCCTGAAAGTAAAACATCATTCTGTGCAGTGTCATGCAATGGACAGAGAATAATCAATGTTTTCACACCATACTGACCTAAGAAGGATTCAGTCAAATCCGTTCACTCCAATAAAAGGATAGAACAGATAAGGATATTTAACATCCTTTTCGTGCATCAGTTTACCCTGGTACCAGAAAATTCCGCAGGATTAGACTTTTCAAGTACTTCTTGAAGTTCGGACAACAATTTACAAAAAATGACGAAGAAAAAAAAGTATCGTTTGAGTATATGTACCTTAAAAAATAATACAGAACCGACACAGAAGTTTTATTGCATCATTTTTCTCTTACACCAACACGAAAAATTTTGATTCTTTGTTGAGTAAAACTGTTATAATCTTTAGTTTTTTAAAAGAGCACACCAATTCCTGAACAATTTAGTTTTGTCTTTATGGTAGATTTTATTTTACCTAATAAAATCTAAAATATGAATTTATACCCCATGATTAGGTTTATGGCGCTACAGTATAACACGTACATGTAGTATGTTTAATTCTTAGATTTAGGCTACGACTTGAGACTTGGAATACTTTTGAGGCTTCCGTGGGGTCAAGATTGATCACGTGGCATAATTTTAAAAGTAATAACACTGGAAGGGTGTGGGGAGGACACTCCTTGTCATTGATTCTTAAACGAGTTGTAAGGGTTTAATACATTTCTGTGCTATTTAAATTAAAATCCCATCTTCTCATGAAACCTTTTTTAAAGTAATGACATATGCAAAGACCATCTCTCAGAGATACGATTATCGTAATTGGTAATCTTGATATAGCTGGACCAATATTCCACAATAATTTCTGGAACATTTCGAACATACGTGTACTTTATTCTATGGATACAGAAATTCCATTAGTAAATATAAGTATTGTTCTAAACGCTGTGTTACAGTAAAATTTGGTGCTTTTGCATCCAAAGGATAATTTTTACTTTCATTGAATGTTAATATAAATTTATTTACGCATTGACATATGCCATACAGTTACAGATGTGTTCCTTTATAAGGATGTGTTGTGTCTGGTTACAATGTCATGATTTGGAGACTTGGAAGGTGTGGTACTTATTTACACGCAATGCACAGAACATAATAGTGGAATGGCATAGACATCTCCGGACTGGCGAATGCAACAAAGCAATCGACGGCAGGGATATTCATTACAGAAGTCCTCAATTAATTAAAAATCAAATCAAAAAACAAAGCAAGAAAACACCTTTTGAACAGTATAAAAGAACAATATCTCCAAAAGTCTCACGCAACATGTTCTTAATCTTAAAAAAACGTTTTCTTTAAAGCATCAATATTACACGGATACGTACCTTCCATTAGAAGTTTTTATTCCTATGAAATAAACATCAGTGGTCCAAGAACCGAACCCAAGGATGTGGAAGCGCTTTGGATTCCGCCATATTTATTCCGTAGATTTCCCATACGACACAGATGCTAGACTATGGGAGAAAGATGGAAAGACGATGTCAAGGAGAAATCACCAGGACTGCTAAAGACTCATTATAATACACACTGCTCACTCCAGATACTTAGTTTTCAAAAACTTGGAAAGCTTTTTGTCGGTTTAATTGCCAAGAGTAAAATCCTGCGCCCTGAAAAAAGCCCGGATAGACATCAATAGTGCGCTCAGTAGCTCGATGCCAGGACCAGCATAGCAAATGAGTTTATTATTGATCGCATCGTGTTTCCAATCGCTGGTTGGGGTTTGGGTGAATGAAACTCCACAAATTATCCAAATATATAATCATGAATCATTTGATCAGTTGCAAAATAATATTATGTTGATTCTGTCGCATTAGATAACAGAGTTACGAGATATATACAAGTTCCCACGGGATACGATTAAGAATAGATATTTTCTGTCGCTGGTCCATAGAGCTTAATTGTTCTTCGATCTTATAAATACGGGTATAGAGGAATGCTATTACAGGAAACTATATGCTCAGCAGTTACATTGTAGATATAACCCTTAAATAAATTAATTTTTGTTTTCAAGAACAAACCTATCACGAGAGAGAAAGATGAAGCAGCTGTTTATCTAAAGCAATAGAAAATATTGACAAGTCTAACTTAATTTGTCATTTATCTAGAATATTGAATGTGTAAAGATGCTCTCTCTCCTTTTCTCTCATATGCTGACACTATAACGCATTTTATGGCTACCCTTCAATAGATGGCAGTTGATCACTGTATATCTTATGAACATTGTGTAACCCTTGGGATCGCAGCAGGGGTTTTGTAGGATCGGGTGTGGGATTCATGAAAGAGCCCACCTATAAAACCATTCGGTCCCTTCAGGTGAATATATATAAAGTTTATTGACTTGTCATATACTAACTATTTAGAGTTCGAAAATGAAATTTGTTGAACTTTTTTGCTCCGACGTTATACAACAGTCTCCGTAATGAGATATAGGTATATGTGTGGAATCAAGTTGCTGACAAGATATTGTTTACAGACGTGCTGGTGGTATTGATTAACTCAGCTCTGTTAAGTTAATTCGATACCTGTATAATACGTTTTGTTTTAAATTGTTTCCGTAGACTTGTTGCTTTTACATTTACAGATAGCTCCCGGTCGAGAACGTAAGATGCATGGTGAATAATTTATCAGAATATGCACTTTCATAGGTATCCTCTCCGTACGCACAAATAACGTGTCAAAGACTTACTAGTGTATTTTGAGTGTATCGTTAGCTAATGTGATATATGGGTTGATTTTCAAAGAAAGCGCCCATTTTGTCATTTTATATTTAAAATAACACTTTCATTTCCTATGATAAAGTCGGGTATATATCCATATATGTTTTATTAACTGTCCGTCCGTCTTTTACACCATCACCACCATCACCCCCGGTATACAGTGTACATGTATGGTGACGTCTCTATATGAATGAAAACATTCTCGAGCGGGACGTAAATAAAACAACACACAATCAATCAATCCTCAAACAGTTTTGACAATTTTGCAAATGCGTAACTTTGAATATGACAGTGGTGTCAAATACATGTACATCAAGGAGTATAGATTTTCATCCTAGGAAAATTGCGTTCTCCCCAAGTTTCTCTTATCGTATTTCCCAAAGACATAGCATCTACCGGTATACTAGTATTACAACTACTGCGGGTGTCCTGTACAGTGTTGGTGTTTATTAAGATTTCAGAATTTCCATTCAGATGGGGGTTTAAAATGCAGTTATTCAACAAAAATTGGGTTTTAAGAACTTTTCTACATTTTTAGCAATAAGGCCAAATCATCTTTTTGAATATGTTTGAATGTGTTGTAAGGTTTTAATAATTTAATTTCATTGAGGACGCCAATTGGGAACCAAAAAAAAAAAACAAAAAAAAAACTGTGTTGTCAGAGATACAGTAATCAATTCATCTTTTGACTGTTCAATAAAGCTTCAGGATTTTAATTTTCTTCTGGAGGGCCACGATTGGCGCTTTTGTAGTTGTACATATGCAGCTATAAAGTTTCGGAATGTGATAAAACTCCTACTGGTGATGGCAATAAAAGTAAATGTGTTCCTTTTTAAAACCCTTCAAAACTACTTTTAATTCAATTCTTTAAATCTAATATTGGTTATGAAATCATTATATGAAATACTATCTTAAGAGGCCTATGGACCGTAGGCTCGCCTGAACATTTTCGTTTTTAATTTTTAAGGTGTCTGTGTTTATGCCTTCTTCACAGTTTTGTTTATTGGTTATATTTTAGATTAACCACTGTTTGTTATCTTCACAATGTTAGTTTGATACATTTATATGCACGTGCTATTTATGCAAATACAGCATTTATTATTCCTCACTACAGTGTAAATACCCTGGTCTGAAAGAAAGAATATTTATAGATTGAGGCAAACAAGTGTGTACAGTGTTTTGTGACAACATCTTGTAAATTCTAGTTATTAAGCTAGTCTGAACTTTCAGTGTACTCTTCCTATTGGCCACAAAGTATTTCAAACTATTTTCTGGTCTCTGTATCAAAACTCGATACCTTCTGCAGCAGCATGGATAGTGTTGCAGGTGGAAAGATAGACGGGATTATGGTCATTTTTCAATAAATTATATAACGTATGACTTGTACATAATGAGATAAAGATATTTTCAGATAATGTGATTGACACAGCAATAGAGATTTTGTCGAAAAGTTTTTTTTTCTCTCATAGCTACAGGCAGTGAAATTCAATATCTGCCAGCCATTGTGTATAAACATAGAATCCCAATAGATATTATTTGCTGAATGTATTGGAGATGTTATGAACATCACAGTGTTAAGAGGAAATTGTTCATTGAATTATTGAATACCTGATATAAAAGGAACTCTTTGTAAAATGTCTGTGTGATGAATTAGTCCTGAGTGTACTGAGCTTGTTTTCACGTCCCCCCAGTTCTACCCTCGACCACCTGGCCACCGTCCCAGCTGAGGCACCAAGCTCTCCATCTGTGTCGATAGTATGTGATAAATTTTACGGTAAATGTTATAATGAAATTATCGATATTGATCACATCAACAGTTGTGTTTTCATTGTTGACAAAATTCGATCTGTCCCACTAGTTACCTGTTCCGTGCCAAAATCCCATTAGTTCCGCTTTATACTAGGGTAGGGTAATTTGTGGCACGTGGTTTATAATATCGAATATTTTGGCAAATATTTTATCTTTTGCTATCTTAGAAATTATATGGATTCTCCCATAAATTATACGTTTAAAACATCCAATTTTACATGATCAGGAGCCATCAAAAGGTCGATCGTTAGCGTAAGGTTTCTAATCACTGCGATAACCAGCCATTATTGTCCGGCAATTAATGTACAGTTTTCTCTCTTGTCCAAAAATATTTGTTATCGATACATACATGATAAAATAGCGACAGCGTGATTGTTATTCATTGAATTTCTCTTTTTATTTCTATGAAAATGTAAATTACGAGATGTTATTCATTGAATTTCTCTTTTTATTTCTATGAAAAAGTAAATTACGAGAGAGTAGTTCATGATTGCAAAATCTATCAATGAAGCTAAACTTTTCATAGAGTGTAATTTTACTTTTTGCTTATTCCAAATTCGTTTCCAGGTAGGAAGAGCAAAACTAAACGGTAGGGGATCTCTTTTTATATCGTAGAAATATTGAAGAATACTGTTTCAATGTTTCCTTTCAAATCAAGCAAAGACACGTTTTTAAACGTTTCATTGTGGTCATTATATCTTGGGTTGTGTCTCCTGAAAACTTCACAATTAAAATCGGACGCTGTCTTTGTTAAGGAAGCTCTAAACATCGCATACGTGCAAAAGGGTTCCAGTTATAGGGTAATTTTATGCAGTTAGAATGATCTGCCCTTAGAGGTAAGATAGAAAAAATGGTAACTTACAGTTAATTTCACAATTTTTAATAGATTAAACTATGCTTAGAATTATATTAGAGAAAAAATAAGTAAATGAATTAATTTTGCTCATGAATAGTCTTTTTGTCTTTGAAAATTTTTCCTGCATAAATTAGGCAGGTACCCTATGTTGAAAATTAACTAAATAGTCCCGATTTGCACACCTTTATAATGATGTATTTTTCTCCAAGTCCAAAAGGCACTTTTTATAAGTGTTTAGAGCTTCCTTAAAATCCGGGCAAATGCTTGGTGACACATTAGGTAAAGTGGTCTCATGCACAGTTAGTGGTATGTATTAAGCATATGCTCGTAATAAGTTTTCGTTTAAAATCAAGGGGTCGAACTTGCAACTTTCTGGCCACAAGACGAATATCCAAAAATACAACCATTAATCAAGAAAGACAACTCCGTAAAAAGCAACTGTTGCATACCACCATTCAATCATATCGAAATCCATACAGACATTGAGAAGTATGGAAAAGTGCTGCATATTGATTTGTTGTGGTAATTTTCTCCTTGCACACTGATTGTGTGTACTTGGTGCATTGTAAAGAGCATACAACACGCTGCTTGTCATTTCTGATTCTGCGGCAAGTGGTGCAGCATTGATTAATAACATCCAGTCCGTGTTATCTCTTGAGTTGTCCCTTGCATTCTCAGTTTTTAGTTAACAATGAGAGGTTGAAAGTTAACAAGGAGAATAGTGCTCTGCACTGCAGCTTGGATTCTTGGGGCCAGTCTTGGAAAATAAACCGTAGATACACCTAGTAATTAATTAATTGATAGTTCATGTCACAGGTGCTTGTGGACAGCACAGCCCCGCACCCTCCCTCCCCCCACCGTAGCCCGGGTATTATAAAATAAAGACATTCTCTATTTTATAATGCCGGGGTATGTTTTTTTTTTTTTTTTAAATAAAACGTTAATTCTACGCTATTTTTTGATTTTTCAAATGGACATGTGTACTATAGAAAATACATTTATGAAAAAAGATGAATAAACCCGGGGTGTATATTGGGGAGGGGGGGTCCTGTCCAGAAGCACTTGTGGTTCATGTACACCGGTTTTAAAATAAATATTTAAGACTGGAAAACATGACCCTTCGCACCGAACATACCTTGTTAAATACTATGTGGAAATGTAAAAATTTAATTAACACACTTAATATTTTCAATGTAAAATAAGCCTGGGTCTCGATTCT